TTAGTAACCGTGTTGTTGTTGTCAGTTGCCCTTGAGTCGGCTCAGACTCAAGGCGACCCCAGGTACAACAGAATGAAACATTACCTAGTCCTACTCTGTTTTCACTATTGTTAGGATACTCGAGTCCATTGTTGCAGACACTGTGGGTTTTGAGTGCCTTCCAACCTAGGGGCTTTCATCTTCCAGCATTGTATTGGACAATATTCTGTTGTGATCCACAGGGTTTTCACTGACTAATTTTTGGAAGTAGACTGCCAGACCTTTCTTCCTAGTCTGTCTTAGTGTGGAAGCTCTGCTGAAACCTGTCCACCATGGGTGACCTTGCTGGTATTTGAATACCAGTGGCATAGCTTCCAGCAAAGGAGCCCTGGTGATGCAATGGTTAAGCACTTGGCTGCTAACCAGAATGTCAGAAGTTCGAACCTACCAGCTGCTATGCAGGAGAAAAGACCTGGCAGTCTGCTTCCATAAAGATTACAGTCTAGGAAACCCTATGGGGACAGTTCTACTCTGTGCTGTAGGGTTGCTATGAGTTGGAATCGACTCAACAGCACACAGCAACAGCTTCAAGCATCATAGCATTACATGCAAGCCAACACAGTAACACAAACTGACAGGTGGTGGTTAGTAACAGCGGGGTCTCCTTATCACTCCTAGGCCAGAAGGCGCCAAGGAAAGAGGGTTAAGGGAATTGAGAGAAAAGTTTAATATCCCTTTCTTGAGTGGTACAAAACGCCAAGGCAGGTGCACCTCTTCTGAGGAAAGCTACCTCTTCTGAGGAAAGCAGAACAAGTGTCTTTGAGTTTTTAGAAGAAGTGGTGATTGGTGGGTTATATAGAAGAAATAAAATATTCTTTTTAAATTAAAGTCATTGTTATGCCTGAGCACCTTTTTTGAATCCGATCCGGTGCCTTGTAATGTGAAAGACACAAAGGTAACGTGTAGCAGGGTCCCCGTTTGTGATTTACCCTCTAATTGGTGTAGGTGATAACACAAGATTATTTGTGATTAAGTACCCAAATTGTGTTGAAAGGCAAAATTGTTGTGGGAAGTCAGAGTAGAAAGAGACCGTATGGAGTAATAGGTATTCAGAAGCCATTTGTTGAATTGTGGATGTAGGATTTGGACAGGCTATTATTCCAGATAAACCATGAATTGAGTACACTACATAAGGGAGGACATAAGACTGGAGCAGAGGATGGAATCTTGCAGATATTGGAAGCAAAGGTGGATAATTAGGCTGGGACAATTTTTGGAACTCTTTGTCAGGCTTAGGAATTTTAAGGAAATGTTATGGGCCTACAGTGCATGTGTGTGTGTGTGTGTGTGTGTGTGTGTGTGTGTGTGTGTGGTGTGTTTGCAGCAGTACTTGGTAGATGTTTATGCTTGAAACTACCACTGCTAGCTGTTGCCCTTGAAAACTTCTGCTTACTTCCCTGATGACTTGGAACCAGGAAGTGATGAAGCTTGATCATTACACCAACACACTGTGACACAGTGACTTCACCACTTCCTGTTTCCATCTGAGAGGGGGGCCAGTGGAAGAAACCACTTCAGTGAAAAGCAGTGAATGGGGGTTAGCGGGAGTCAAGGATGTGTGGTCTACATTTTCTGTAGAAAAGCAGTCACATACTTAATGGGCAAAACATTTGAGTAAAGTAGCAGTAAGATGAAGGAGTTGGACCTTCAGTGGAATAGTAGCTGTAGCCCAGTGACCTGTGAACATGTATAGGAATCGGGAACTAACTCCTGAATTCTGTGCTATATATCTTAACCTACTTCATCCCTTTAAAATTTCTTTTCCCTCTGACAAGCCAACCCTTGTGCTGAATTCATAGTCTAGTCCAAAAGCCAATAGTAAATAAATTCCAATATAATTTGTCCAGGCTTCTGTGCCAAAATGGCAGAAGAATGCTATTTGGATGACTTCCTTCAAAAAGAGAGACCACTTGAAAGAGACGTGGCTGGAGTTGTATTTCTTCCCAGTCACTGATAGATCGACTGTGACCAAGGACAAGCCTATTGCCAAGCTGCAAGTGTTGTATGCATTGCAGGCTCAGGGAGAACAGTGTATGCCTGGCACTGACAACGACAGACTCCTTTCTTCCCTAATTATGAGTAGGATTTTTTCAGTGACCCCTGTGGGATATGGCAGAAAGATCAACTGACCATCTTCATGCACTTATCAAGCCTGCAGAGATGGGGAACGTTACAGGCTCCTTGGTTCCTCAGTTAAATGTCTGGAGTGAATCTCCAAGGTGGTTCTTTTTTCTGGGAAGGATGCAGATCACTCCTCCGGAGAGTGAGGGCAAGAAATAAATCTACTTTAAAAAATAAAAGAAAGCCAGTTTCATTGAAAGTATAGTTTGCATAACATAAAATTCACCCGTTTTCGGTGTACAGTTCAATGAGTTTTAGTAAAATTTCAGAATTGTGCAAATATCACCAGACTACAGTTTTAGAAAGTTTCCGCTTCCCCAAAAAGATCCCTAATTTGTGGTCAGTCACTATTCCCACCCCTGGGCCCAGGCAACCTATTTGTGTTCTGTCACTAGATTTGCCTTTTTTGGACATTTCGTGTAAATGGGATCATACAATACGCAGCCTTTCGCATCTGGCTTCTTTCATTTAAAATAGTGTTTTTGAGGTTCGTCCATGTTGTAGCTTGTGTCTATACGTCTTTCCTTTTTACTGCTCCTTATATCCATTGTGTGGATATCCTGTATTTTGTTTATCCATTCAGCAGTTGATGGATTGTGTCCATTTTTGGGCTGTTATGAATAATGCTGCTGTGTTAGTTTCTTGTGGCTGCTGTAGTAAATTACCACAAACTTGGTGGATTAAAACAACAGGAGTTTATTCTCTCACAGTTCTGGAGGCCAGGAGTCCAAAATCAAGGTGTTGGCAGGGCCACACTCCCTCTAGAGGCTTTAGGAGAGATTTTGTTTCTTGCGTTTTCTAGCTTCTTGTATTGCTGGCATTCCTTGGCTTGAAGTCACATCACTCAGCCTCTGCCTCCATCTTTGTATTGCCTTCTCCTTTTCTGCGTCTCTCAAAACTCTCACTGCATCTCTTTTATATGGATAATATGATTATATTTAGGGCTTACCTGGATAATCCAGGATCAGCTCCTCCTCTCAGATCCTAATGTAATCACATCTTTAATGTTTACAGGCTCCAGGGAATTGACATAGATCTTATAGAGGGTCATTTTTCTGCCTACCAAAGCTGCTATGAAGATTCACTCAAAGTCTTCATGTGTAAATATGTTTTCATTTCTCTTGGATGGATAGCTAGGAGTACAATTGCTGGGTCATATAGTAAATCTAAGGAGCCCTGATGACACAGTGGTTAAGCATCTGGCTGCTAACAGAAAGCTCAGGGGTTCGAACCTACCCAGTAGCTCCTCCGCAGAAAAGTCCAAGTGATCTGCTCCTGTAAAGTTTCTAAAACCAAACCCATTGCCATTGAGTTGATTCTGACTCCTAGCAACCCTATAGCACAGAGTAGAACTGCCCCATAGGGCTTCAAAGACTGTAATCTTTATGGTAGCCGACTGCCACATCTATCTCCTACAGAGAGGCTGGTGAGTTCGAACCGCTGAGCTTTTGGTTAGCATTGGAATGCTTAACCCCACTGCTCCACCAGGTCCCCTTCGTGTAAAGAATACAGGCTAGGAAATCCTACGGGGCAGTTCTTCTCTGTCGTAAAAGGTTGCTATGAGTCGCAATAGACTCGATGGTGCACAACAACATAGTAGATTCATGTTTAAATTTTAGAAACTGCTAAACTGTGTTCTGACAAGATTGCACCATTTTCTCTTGCAACCAGCAATGTATGAGGTTCCCAATTTCTCATTGTTCTTGCCAATTATCTATCTTTTTTATTATAACTGTTTTAATGGGCATGAAGTGGTATGTGATTGTGGTTTTAATTTACATTGGAAAACCCTAAACAAAATGGATTGACACAGTGGCTGCAACAATGGACTCAAACTTAGCAATGATTGTGAGGATGGCGCAGGACCTGGCAGTGTTTTGTTCTGTTGTACGTAGGGTCACTATGATTTGGAACTGACTTGTAGGTACCTAACAACAAGGGTTGGAATCGACTCAATGGCAATGGGTTAAAGACTAATAATGTCGAACATTATTTTATGTGCTTATTAGCCTTTCATGTATATTCTTTGGTAAAATATCTATTCAACACTCTTGTTAATTTTTAATTGGGTTGTTTGTCTTCTTATTGTGTTGTAAGAGTTATTGTTTTTATGACCTCGCCCTGTCCTTGCTAGTCCTAAGGACTGCGGTGATTGAGGTCATCTTATTCAGAAAGGGGTAGTCAGTGCTGAGGCAACCCATTTTCCCAGGGTGCTTAGAACTGGTGCAAGGCTGCCATCCTTCATTGCGCTCTGTGCTGGTCTTTTACAGGGCAGTAGATGAGACTCACGTATGGCCTTTCAGCTATCAATTACTGTGTAGGGAAGCAGGTCGATCGCTTCCCCTCTGCCCTGGAGATCATAAGCTCAGTGTTATTGTAGGCTGGCTATTATCTGATGAACAGGGAGACCAGCAGAACCCCAAATATGGTCTCACTGTAGGCTGTTGTTTTCTTTCATTATGCTTATCACAATTTTCATTAAGTAGCTATTTCTATAGTAACATATTTAATGTCTTTCTTCTCCCACTAGATTGTTAGTTTCTTTGAGGGCAGGGATCATATCATGTTTTTGTGTTTTGTTATTCTGTCGTTAGTGTCTAACACAGTGTGTGGCACATAGTAGGCAACTAATCAATATTTGTTGAGTGGAGGAATGACTGTAACAGACTGGTAATGGGGGCCCAGGAGGACACTCTGTGCTTTACAATGCGTGATTCACAGGAAATCACTAAATAGAGGGTTATTGGTTGAATGAGTAGTTCATTAACCACTGAATGTGCTATTTAATGACATGTATTTTAACTGCCACTGATTTCCCCCCTTTTATTTCTCACTTTCAGCGATCTATAATTATAATGCCTCTCAAGATGTGGAGCTCTCCTTGCAGATTGGCGACACGGTTCACATTCTGGAGATGTATGAGGGTAAGTCTGGATGGCCTCCTGCCAGACTGGGGAAAAGAATCAAACAGTGGAAGTTACTCATTAATAAAGCACTTAGAGCAAACATCAACATGCTTTACTTCCTGAAGTGCTGCTAGTAAAAATCCAGCAAGTACTTAGGTTATACAATTTCATACTGTGGGTGATTTCAGAACAGCCAGCTGCACACATGAGTGCACACATACCCAGACACCAGAGTCGAGGTATGTGAATATGTGGAGGACACTGTTGTGCCCCAGCCACGGGATGCAGAATGATCAAATGCACTGTTGGCCCTCGGAGACACTTGGAGCATTAGGCTTGCCAAGTTCTAAGGCGGCACTGCTGATTAAGTGCCTCTTTCTACTCAGCACTAAATGTTGCCAGGTTGGTGGGATGAACAAGGAAGCTGACTTTCTGGTGTTGCTGCGATTCTTTCAGATAATTAGGTCAGGGCTACAGCAGGTCCAGAAAGCCTGCTAGTATATTTTCTCCCACTGGATTGGGGTAGGGAGGTGGTCCAGTTACCTGTTGTGGGCCCTCAGGGCTCTTGGTTTGTCTGAACAGCACAGGTCATATCTGTCTCCATCCCACCCCCAGGCTTCTAGCTTTAGTTCAGATTCTCTAAATCCTCAAACGAATAGCACCTCCATGCATCCATATTTCTGATCCAAACCCCCAGAGTACAACAAATGTGTATCTAGGTCATTGACTTCTTTTTTTTTTTTTAATGCCATGGAGTCAGTGGTGATCCCACATGTGTCAGAGTAGAACTGTGCTCCATAGAGTTGTCTTTTTTTTTTCTTTTTTAATTTTATTGTGCCTTAGGTGAAAGTTTACAGCTCAAGTTAGTTTCTCATTCAAAAATTTATACACGTAAATTGTTTTGTGACATCGGTTTCAATCCCTGCAATGTGACAGCACTCTCCTTCTTTCCCACCCCAGGATCCCTGTTTCCATTCATCCAGTTTTTCTGTCCCTTCCTGCCTTCATGTCTGGCTTTTGGGCAGGAGTTGCCTGTTTTGTCTTGTATATTTGACTGAACTAAGAAGCACATTCCTCCTGTGTGTTACTGTTTGTTTTCTAGGCCTGTCTAATCTTTGTCTGAAAAGTGGGCTTCAGGTATGGCTTCAGTTCTGAGTTAGTGGGGTGTCTGAGGGCCATAGTCTTGGGGATTCCTCTAGTCTCTGTCAGATCAGTAAGTCTGGTCTTTTTTTGTGAATTTAAATTTTGCTCTACATTTTTCTCCTGCTCTGTCCAGGACTCTCTATTGTGATCCCTGTCAGAGTCGTTTGTGGTGGTAGCGGGGCACCATCTAGTTCTGGGCTCAGGCTGTTGGAAGCTGTGGTTCATGTGTACCATTAGCCCTTTGGGCTAGTCTTTTCTTTGTCTCTTTGGTTTTCTTCATTCTCCTTTGCTCCAGTTGGCATGGGACCAATAGATGTATCTTAGATGGCTGCTCGTAAGCTTTTAAGACCCTAGACGCTACTCACCAAAATAGGATGTAAAACATTTTCTTTATGAACTATGTAATAAAAGTTAACCGAGATGTCCCCCGAGACTATGGTCCCCAGCCCTCAGCCCCAGCAGCTTGGCCCCTCACGGTATTTGGATGTGTCCAGGAAACTTCTGTGACTTTGTCTGGGTCAAGTTGTGCTGACTTCCCCTATACTGTGTGTTGTCTATCCCTTTACTAAAGTTAACACTTATCTATTTAATTGTCTTTCCCTTCACCAAAGTTAACACTTAACTATTTAGTTAGTGATTTGTCCTCCCCATCCCTCCCCACCCTCGTAGCTCCATAGAGTTTTCAGTGGCTAATTTTTCAGAAGTAGATCTCCAGCTCTTTCTTCCAAGGCACCTTTGGGTGGACTTGAATCTCCAACCTTTTGTTTAGCAGCTGAGCACTTTAACTGTTTGCATCACCCAGGAACTCTTCCAGGTCACTGAAGTTGAGGGTAAAAGCAAAGAACAACCCTTAGGGACCATTAACTGTCTCAGAAGATTGGGATAGGAATGAGGTGGGAAGCTAGGTAGATTTCTCTTATAGGGTGAGGCTTGTTACTACAGGGATTCTGGATTTGCAGGATCCTTCCTGCTCATGTAAATGCTTGTGATGGTGGAAGAGCAAAGGTGGTCGTGTAGAATCTGGTGCAGCTTCCCAGGATTGGACAGGAAGACATAGGATGAGAAGAGGAGATGGAAAGCCAGAGGAAAAGTAAGCAGAGTTTGGCCACAGAAAGGCTAAGTCATCTGCCTAATTGGACAGAAGACTCTGGTGTTACTGCTGCTTTCCATTATTTTTAAGAGTGTTGGGGCTTTGCCTTATCTTTTCCTATTCCACACAACTCAAAGTGTAATCCTGTAGCTCCCAGGGGCAGGGAGAGTGGAGGGAGGGCTGTGGGGACTGTTCCAGTTCCATTCTCTCTCTTCTGCTTTCTTCTTCACCATATCAGTCCAGCCAGCAATCAATTCCATGGCATCCCAAAGTCACCAAGACACTAGAGACAATCTACTTACCTTTCCTGGACTCCTTTGAGTCCCTCAGACTTTACTCATTCATACTTCTTTGTCAGAGGCAGACTAATCACTCTGTCTAGTCTCTATGGACACACATTTTTCCATTATGCAGGCAAAAAGCTTATGTTCAATTTTTGAAACTTCTATGTAGACTTGAATGAGTATTTTAGAATCCTTGGGTGCAAAGTTCTATATATGTCAATTAGATTCAAATTTGCTATATCCTTACTTACCTGTTTCTGTTTTTTTCCATCATTGAGAGAACTATGCTAAGTCTTCCACCATGCTTGTTTGTCTGTTTCTCTTTATATACATGTCAGTTTTTTGCTTTACGTTTTCAGGCTAATGCAGTTTTAAAATTGTTATATTAAACAGTTATACCTTTTAATTCTTTGTTAAACATTTAATCATTATATCTTTATATCTAGAGATGCCTTTTGCCTTAAATCTGTTTTGTCTGAAATTCCTACCAACCTAGGCAATCCCAGAGCCCCCGTTTTTGTCCCCGCGGCTCTGCATGTCTCAGAAATGCCACTCAGCTTCTCAACTACTCGGGAACCTTTTCCTAAATCAGCAGATGCGCCAAGAGGGAAAGCAGCCAAGCAGCCCCAAATGCTGGGCTCATCTTTCTGGGTTTTTGCCTTTTTCAGATCTTCTCCTGGTAATTCTTTACTGCCATGTTAGCTCTCTAATGTTTATGTATGTTGTTTTTGTCCAGCTTTTCTAATTGTCTTGAGGAG